ACCTTCAGCACGTGCTCCTTGTTGACGCTGTCGTAGAAAATCTTGGCAGATTCCTTGATGAGAATACCGCTCTCTCTCTTCCAAGAGATGTTGGGTTTGGGGTTCCCCTTCACCTGGACTCGGAACTCGGCTTTGTCCCCTGCCGTGGGCACAGGACGCAGCCTCGTCACCTAGCCCTCGGCTGGACCTCTGCTTGCTCCCCTTCTCCTCCCAGGGATCTGGGCCTGGCTACCAAATTGGGCTTTGCCAGTGTCTGTGAATGGGGGAGGGAGGCTGGGGAACAGGGGAAGAAAGTGGAGCCCCCCAGGTGGGGAGACTCCGGGAGCGGCGCACCCTCGGACGCGGTGATCGGGTGAGGCTTCTCCATGAACTCAGGGACACTCTCGCCCGCAGGGATGTTGGAGCTCTGGGTCACTAAACGGAAAAATTCCACGGTGCTTGAGGACTTCCTGCTCACTTCCTCTGTGGGGCCAGACGGGAGGTTAGAATGAGCCCTTGATGGCACTGAGTTTGGTTTTGGTTTTAACCTCTTTCTCCAGCTGCACAAAGATAGTTCTAATGTGCAGCCAGGATTGAGAATCACTGCTGTAATCACTTGAGTTTGCAATATTTGGTCTAGACCATACGTCTTGAGTCCTGCCTGTTCCACTTGCTCTGCCTCATGGACCAGGAAGAATTGGTGTAAAGAGAGTATTTATCGGCCTTGACCTCTGTCCACAGAGGACTTTGAGGGACTCTGTCCCTCTGGGATTTGAGGGAGGTGTGATGACTGCATCTACGGATATCCAATATCCTGTCCCCTGGCCATTTTTTAATCTCCTTTCCACTAGAGACAGGACTAAAACAGTGTGTTCTGCTTGGATCTTATTTCTTGGCTTTCCCTTGGCTCTGTTCTTCCCTAAGTCTGGTCCTCAAGAGTTGAGAGCCTGGGAGCTTAGGTCACTCATTTAAGCACTCATCCTCTTTCCACTGGCAGCCCAAGTCTCCTATTTCTTAAGTGAAGCAGGGTCAGGATTACTTATATATAGGTAGATAAGGTAGCTACCTTCCTAACTTCCCCTATGCCTGACATTCTACCATCAGAGATACAGTCTACAGACCTCCTGCTCTGATCTCTTTAAGCAATTAGGAGTTTACCATTCACTCCGACACCTCCATGTGACTGAGATCTGTTGAACATCTGACTGGCTGAAGCTTTATCAAAGCATGGATTTGAAGCACAGATTGGGAGGGGGTCGTTTTTGGTATCTCAGACTATTGAAAAGCCCGTATTTTCTAAGGCTGAGGCCACGCAGGGGGCACGTGTAGAGGAAAAAAGGTTGTCCTTTATTGTGGGCCTCCCCCCCAAGTCTACTTGCCTCCCACGATCTTGGTTGTCTGGGAGAAGGTCTGCATGTGGGTGGTGGAGCTGGATCTGAACTCCATGGACACGTGCTCCTGCAGCATCTGCTTGTGGCTAATAGTTGTCATGGTGACAGCAGGCGTAGGCACTCACCTGTGATGACCAGGAAGAGGATGAGGCCATGAAGGACAATGGAGGGAGTAGGAAAGATTCAGAGATATTCTTATGTGTGTGGGGGGGGGGAGGGAGGAGGACACAAATGGAGATGGAAGTGCACAGGACAGGCAAGGAGAGAGCCACTCTTTTCTTCATTTCCTGTCTCTGGTTGGTTGCAAGGGCCAATAATTCTGTTCCCCCAATGACTAGCTCCAAATCATTCCAAGTTCTTGGGGTGAGGAAGAAGCAATGTAGGGCCTTAGGCTTACCCACAGAACAAAGTACGGGCCAGAGAAGGTTGAGGATACCTATGGAAAACCACATGGAACTAGGGAGGCAGTGCTGGATCTTTTATCAGGAGGGAATGAAGTCAGCTCTAGAAGGAACTTCCTGAATAAGCCATTCTCGAGTGAGCTCTGGAAGGAAGCTGTGGGTCTTCTTGGGTCCTAGGGACTCTTGGCATTTGTGGATTGCTAAGACAGATGACAATGCACTTCTAAAGCCAGAGGTTTAGTGTTTATTCTGTAAATCTTTTTTTTTGTTTGTTTTTTTTAAAGGAGACTGGCTGGTGCAAGTGGTTTGTGATCACCAAGTTGGTGGTTCAAACCCACCTGGCAGCTCTGGGAAGAAAATCCTAGTGATCTGCTTCCATAAAGATTACAGCCTGGAAAACCCTATAAAGAATTCTGATCTGTAACACATGGGGTCATGCGAGTTGGAATTGACTCAATGGCAATGGGTCTGTTTTTTTTCTTCTGTGTAGCCAGTGATTCAATCTCATGGTTAAAAAAAGTAAAACATATAAAGTTTATATATGGCCCTCCCACTCCCGAGGCTCCCTCCACCTCCATCTCCCAACCCTCTCTAAACAGATAACTGCTGTAGTTTCTAGGCTCCTTCTGGAGTTCCTGGTGTAAATATAAATATATTTTTTGCTCTTTCCTTTTCCCCCCATATGTAGGGTAAATACATACATATATATATATATATGTGTATATATATATATATATATATATATATATATATATATTCCCTTTTTTTTTTTCACTTATTATGGACATCTTTCCATACTAGTTCATAACAATTACACAGTACTTCAACATACGGATTTTCCTATTATCATTAATTTATGCATGGCAGTTTTTAAATTCCTATTTTGTTTATGAGGGAACTTAAGGCCTGAGAGAAATAACCTTCCCAAGGTCACTCAGACTAGAATCCTGGCCTCTTGATGTCCAGTCCAGTGTCCTTCCAAGGGTCCCAAAAGCTTTGTTCTCAGACAGTGGTTTGAGGGTTGTGTCCAAGCTTTACCCACCCCTTTCCACCTTGATACATCTCTGCATGGCCTGCTTCTGAGTGCTCAGCTGCGAACCAAAAGGTTGGTAGTGTGAGTCCACCCAGAGGTACTTCAGAAGAAAGGCCTGGTGAGCTATTCTGAAAAGTCAGCCACTGAAAACCCTCTGGAGCACAGTTCTATTCTGACACACATGGGGTTGCCATGAATCAGAATTGATTGTTTTAGTTTTTTGGTTTTTGGCCTGCTTCTGTTTCTTTGGGTTCTAAGACCACTCCTTATCCTAGCTCCTGCCCTCTACACTGTCTTCTACCTCTGGGCTCACAAATAGCAGGGTCTGCTCCCTTCTAGATACAAGAGGGAAGCCTTACCTTCTGTGCTGCTGACCAGTCCCTCCCAACACTTCGAAGTCTCAGTGAGCGTCTGGGCTTTGAGAGTGGCTAGTCTCCTTTCTTTGTTCCAAAGGCATCCTTGTCAGCTCCTTAAATGTCTAGCCCCCTGGGGGTGATTCCTTACTCAGATTCCTCAGCTGTCCAGCTAGATGGCACATGGCTTTAGTGGAGAGCTGGGGGAGGGGAGGCTGGATTCAGGAGAAGATGTTGGGGACTGGGTGGGAAGGAGGTGGAGGGTGGCCCCCCAGGCTACTGATGCTGTTTTCCTGTAGCAGAGCTTTTGATTCTCATTACTGCTGGGTGAGACATCTCTGAGCTGAGGGGCTCTGCGTAGTATGTGAGTGTTTATGCGTGAGTGTACTTCAATAGGACTTGGGGAACAAAGCAACAGGCCCAGGAGGCAGTGAGATGGAAGGGGTCTGGGGGATCTGCCACGTGCACAAATCACTGGGTGCCATTAAAATGTTCTCTCTCCTCCCCACTCCTGCGGCCCACTTTCCCTAATCTGGATAGAAGGGGTGAGATTGCTCTGAAGGTGTCTGGAGAGCCTGCCCAGTGCTCCCCTCACCCTTGGCCTCTGAGCTGCCATCCTCTGCAGCATATCCTGTGAGCCAAGGTTTTGGTGCCTTGTAAGGACCTGCTGGTTGGTCAGCAGCACTGCCCTGGGGTGAACCCCACATGTGGGCAGTGGCATCACAGCTACTTTTGCTCCATCCCCAGGGGAGAAGGGGTAAAATAGAGCAGGAGTGTCTGGGATGACTCAGGATTCCCTGGGCCCTTTGGGAGAGGCTCCTCCTAGCCAGGCCTTACAAGGGAAAATGCCCGGCTGCAGCTGCTGTTGGGACCTGAGTGGGGCTAATGTGGGGTAGGCAGGCTGGCCAAGAGGGAGGGCCTGGGTGTGAACTAATGTCCCCCTGCCCCGGCCTTGACCTCTCTGGCTCATCCGTCAGAGCTGGTGGCTTCCCAGCCACTTGGCCTTTGCTGGATGCTCCCACACCTGTCCCTGAGGCTCTTGTGGCCCAGGCCATTGGCCGTGCTGGGGGTAGAGGGATGTGAAATCCTGCAGGATGGAAATTATTCTGGCTTTTCAAATCTGGACTCTCTCCATGGAAGGGGGGCAGGCCAAGCTCGGTGGGGTATGCTGGGAAGGAGGGGCACAAACACCTCAGTGCGGGGAGCCGAGAGGCAAATCACACAGACCCAGGAGGCTAGTTTTGCTCAAAATGCTTCATTTATTGCTCTATTCAATGACCACGAGCGAATTATAAAAAGACACCAAATGTCTCTGTCTGCCGTGGGATAAATATTTAAAGTCAGCAGTAAAAACACGTGGCTTCAAGATAACACATGTTGCCAGAGTCATGCATGCCCCACGGAGGGGCTCTCAACACACACGTGGACACGGGAACACAAGCAGAGCTACACGCAGCAAGACTTTTGGGAGCACTTTCCCACACTGACACAGAAAGATGTTTTACACAGATCTGGGGCCAAGTCCCTACCCCCCTAAAAACTCCCCCTCCCCCACCCTCCACTGTGGCCCAGAGGCTCTGGGCTCAGTGCCCCTATCTGTCCCCTTCCTTCCCCAATACCTCAGAGGTTGGGCATTGCTTCCTGAGGGCATCTGACACCCAGGTCTCCCCTGGCTGAGATACCCCAACCCACCTACCCACCCAGAGGCCTCTTTCTCAACTGAACTTTCTCAGCCAACCCCTCAAGGGCTCCCCATGCTTGGCCTCCAGGTCCTCAGGGCCCCTTATCCTGGTCCCACCTGGTCCAGATAACTGGGGAGAAGTGGACGTGGTGGCCTGAGGCAGGCCCCTCTGCTTGGGCTGCTCAGGAGGCTGGAGTTCATCACCTCCTCCTGGCCGAGGAGACACAGTGTCCGGTACAGACAGCAGAGATGGATGGTCAGACAGAACAGGCTGTGGCAGGACACTTGAAGTGTGTGGCACAGAAATATTTTGGATCAAGTAGCAATGAAGCCATAGTTAAAAACTGAGGCCCCCGTCTTTGTGGTGTGGGTCAGGCCCCAGGGCCTCAGGCCTGGCCTGGCACATCCCTCCCCCACCCTCCCCCCACTCCCAATATTTACAGTAGGAAGAGTGATGCTGGGTGGCAGGGGCCAGGCCGAGGCGAAAAGAGGAAGAAGGAAGTGGGTGGGAAGAGATAGGGAGCAGGCCCAGGGCCTGAAGCAGGGCACTGGGTCTGGGAGGTGGAAGGGAGGGCCCAGACTCAGGCTGGGCAGAGCCCAGAGGACCTTGGATGGGGAGTGTGGTCACTCTTGGGACTGGCGGGAGAGCTGCTTCTCGTAGAGGCTCATGACATGGTGCACAAACTGGTACTGCTCACATGTCTGGATCATGCCGCCCCTGCCCGGAAGATGCACACTGTGACTACATTAGGTACTCCCCCCCCCCCCCCCCCCCCCCCCCCCCCCCCCCCGCCAAGCCATGGAGTACCAAGCATTTGTGAGGTCTGTTAGGGGCCGTGGCTTTGTGCAGCTTGGAAAGACCACTCTTTGCCAGCCCCTTCTTTTCTGCTACCCCTCTTCTGCCTCTTCCCAGCTCTAGCACAGATGGATCACAAGGACACAGGTGATGTGTCCCACCATGACATGCCCCTGTCTTTCTGCCCACTAGCTATTTCTTTTCTCTCTTCATTAAGCCATCAGTTGGCTAGATCCTGACTCTCTATCACTCTGTCCTCTCTGCTGTCTGCCAGTCTGTCCATCACCCCATGCACAGTCTTTCCCTGCTGCTCTAGCTCCTCCATGTTTCCTCCCCCGATCATGAGCTGACCTGTCCTGGCGGAGCTGGCATGTAGTCTTCAGGATGTCCACCACACCCTCCTGCCGCAGCTGCTGGCAGCAGATGCTGGTGGCAATGAAGCAGCCAGTCCTCCCAATCCCTGCACTGAGGACAGAGGGGTGGGGTGTGGTGAGGTGGGATGGGGAAGGTGTATGAGAGATGGGGCAGCCCATAGGGGGGTAGCCTTGCCCAGTGGGTATCTGGGAGGACCCACCTGCAGTGGACTATGATGGGGGCACAGTGGGGCCCCTCCTGCTGGGCTGCCTCTTCCACCTCCTGCACCAGATGCAGGAGTGGGGGGGCACGGTCTGGGGTCTTCTGGTCAGGCCAGGATGTGAACCAGTAATGCTTTAGGCCTCGCTCTTCGGTACCACTCTGTCCAGGAGACAGGCCCACCCCGATACATGTGAACTCTTTCGGCCCCACAAACAAGCCCAGGAATGGAGATGGATGGGGAGGAGAAAGAACACAGGAGGAAGGACACACAGAGAAGACCCCAGCCCCGCCATCTACACCACACTGCCCAGTGGTGCTAGACAGAGAACTGTATCAGCTTGGCCACACGTACTGGTCAGTGACACTGACGCTGGTATTCACTTCAGCTTTGCCCCAGTAACTCCAGGATCATCCAAGAGGGGTGAAAAGCCCTTTTCCAACTCATTACTATCTACAGCGTTTCTTATCTTAATAAATGGCCCAGTCATCCCCTGATCACATAACCCAGACCCTGAGGACTCTATGCTCACCTCACTATGCTTTGGCTGCCCACCTGGTGCCACGTTCATGTCTTTCAGCTTTCGGAGCTACTATAGTGGGCTCCACCTTCCACATGCATAAATCAACCCACTGTTGTCGAGTCAGGTCTGACTTGCGTAGCGATCCCTCCTTGGGTTTCTGAGGCAGTAGCACTACAGAAGTAGATTGCCCAACCTTCCTTCTGGGGAGTGGCTGGTGGATTTGAACCACCAGACTTCTGGTTAGCAGTCAGATGCCTAGGCACTATGCCACCAGAGCTCCCCCCACATGCATAGGTCTTATTATTTCTCAAACACAGAACCCGCTATCCCTCTGATTCCAAAGGAACAGTTTTCTCTGTTATTCTGACCCTGGAAGAAGTACAACTTCAAGGTGGAAGGATACCTCCCCCCACTCTTCTGGGCTGTTTTGTGTCACTCATATTTTATGTGTGTGTGTGTTTTTCTTTGTCTTTCTCTTTTCTCTAATCAGTCTCCCCGTGCAACCCAAACACAGTAAGGCGTGCCTGCCCTCTGGTGGACATAGTGGACATCACTATGACCTGAAGCCCAGCATACCAGGTAAAGGGACCTTTCTTGGTGGGGAATCTCAAAGTCCCAGTGGACCTTCAAGTCATAAGAACAGCGCTGAAGGCTGTTGAAGCTCTTTCACCCAGACCGTTCTGACCTTGGGTACATTCAAAGTAGAGCTGGAAAGCATCATGAATTCACAGAGGAGAGAGAGGCAACTTAACAGTATTAAATTAGACTGAGTTTTGTGAAGGAGTACTGTTGGCGCAGTGGTTAAGTCCTAAATGAATGGCTGCTGAATGAAAGGTTAGTGGTTCCATGGGAGAAAGACCTCACAATCTGCTCCTATAAAGATTAAAGCCTGGGACAGTTCTACTCAGTCACATGGAGTTGATGTGTTGGAATCCATTCAATGGCACCCAACAACAAAAACAAGGTTTGTGAGAGTCTCTGGATGGTGCAAATAGTTAACACAGTCAGCTGCTAAATAAAAGGGTGGAACTGTGAACTCAGAGGCACCTTAAAGAAATGCCTGACAATCTAATTCCAAAACGTCAGCCACTGAAAACCCCATGCAGCACAACTCTACTGTGAACATGTATGGGATCACAAGGCGTTGGAGTCAACTCAATGGCAATTGGTATGTGTGTGGTTTGGGAACGTGGGTCCTGTCTCTAGCCCCCAACTCCATTTCCCTCAATTGGAGCTAGCGAGGGTTCTGAGACTGTATTCCCCATGGAGTCCCCAGTCAACCCCCAGACACCTCTCCCCCCTCCACCAACCAAGTACAGCCCAAGGTCTCACCCTGAGGGAAATGAGTCGCAGCCGGTAATCTTCAGTGTGAATGACCTTCCGTACAGTGATCTCGACACCATCATATACCACCTGCTCCTCTGGCCAGTACTCGGTACACTTCTGCAGGGGCCCAGATCAGGCTAGCATGAGACCCACAGCTCCCTTCCTATGCTCTTTCTGACATCCCTCCAGGGCCAGTGGGGAGAGACATATAAAAGGGCAACAGGTTTGGAATTAGAGTACTGGATTCCAGTCTCAACTTCATTAAGCTGTAAGTTACTTCCCTTTCCTGAGCCTCAGTTGCTTCATCTGGAAAATGGGAGTACTAACACCCATTCTGAATGACTTTTATGGGCATTGAATTAAATGGGCTATTATGGGTATGAAGCAGTCATGCTAAGCCTAGCAGACTGGGAGGCAGCAGAGTATGGTATTTAAATCATGAGCACTTGATATGAGAGAGAGGCCTGGGTTCAGCTCCCGGCTCTGCCTGTGACTATCTGTGTGGCTCTAAGCAAATGACTTAACCTCTCTGAACTTCACATTTCTTCATTTTGAAATGGTGTGGGCACTACTAACTTCACAAGATTGTTATAAGGACTGATATGAAAGCAGGATGCTCAGCTAGGGCAGAAAGCAGTAGACACCTAGTACCCATATGGAGTCCCTGTGTACAAGGGTCCCTACCTCGTTCATCTCCTCGATGTTGGTAATCATGACGATGATGGGTGTATGCTCCTGCCACACCATGCGCCAGAAGTCACTGACCGTGCTGACAATAGGTCCCTGAGTGGCGATGTATACTTTCTCCTCCCCGCCGTAGCCCTGTGGCCAGCCGAGGCCAGGCTGTCAGGGTCAGACACAGCACCCCCAGAGAACAGTCCCCACCCTCAGGTTCTTCCCTGGGGCTGGCAGGAGCCACACTGGCTTAGGAACAAGACTGAAGGGTCGTCTCCATCAGCCCTGGGCCTCCTTTCAGTGAGAGGCCATCAGGGTGAGGCTACATACCCGGATATAGTTGGCATTGATGTAGGAAATCAGGGGGTCATCAGGGTCCGGCGAGGTCAGACACACTCTGCTGTGAGGATCTGGGATGGGGAGAGACAGGTGAAGCTGGGAGCTGAGTCTTATGGTACAGGAGCCCCCTTCTCCAGCCCACTCTAGGGCACCCACATTTCTCTTGAGACCCTAGTGGTTTCTCCTACCTATGCTCAATACCAGAAGTTGGACTCATCCCCATGGCCCCCTCTGGTAGGTGATAGCCCAGGCTAAACAGAAAGGGTGGAGAAGGGGCCCTGGGGCTCTACTTCTGTAGAATCAATGCCTTTGCCTCTTAAGCTGTCCTGTCCTGACTGTACTTCATGTTCTAGAGAGGAGAAGATTAAGTCAAGATAGGAATGATCTACAGTACAGGTTCTGGATAGCAAGAACCAGTTAGAGTCTGAGTACACACTGCCACTGACTTGCTGAGTCAGCTTGTAAACCACATGAACTTTCTAAGCCTTGGTGTCCCTATATGTCAAATGGGAGTAAAAATGCCCACTTCTTAAGAGTTGTTTGGAAGATCAATGAAAAAACATGTGAAAGTGCTGTGTAAACTGTAAAGTAGTTTATAAATGAAAAAGGCTGTTAAGATTTGGGGGCAGAAGGCAAAGGGAGAACATGGGGTGAAAGGAATAAAGCCTTCCATGTCTGGAGTGAGCCTGCAAGGGTCTTCATCTTCCTCCCATGGAGGAGCTGGTGGGTTTGAACCACCAAACATTTGGTCAGCAGCCAAGTGCCTCACCCACTACATCACCAAAGGTCCTTTAGTGGCATAGATACCTGTGCATAAAGACTTTTTTTTTTACCCATCCATTCACATACCAGGAACCCTGGTGATACAGTTAAGCTTGGCTGCTAACCAAAAGGTTGGTGGTTCAATCTTACCCAGTGGCCCCATAGGAGAAAGAGCTAGCAATCTGCTTCTGTAAAGGTTATACCCAAGAAAACACGATGGTATAGTCTGACTCTCTCACATGGTGTCACTAGGAGTCAAAATGGATTGATGGCACCTAAGAAGAGTCACATGTCAAATCCTATAGTAACAAATTCCTCATAAAGTTATGCTTTTCTTCCTGGAGAAGAAAAACTTGTTTTGTTCCAACTAGTGCCTCTCTGTGCTGACTATCCTGTGAGCTTGCGGAGACTGGGACTGAGATTGGATGGGGTGGGCAGGGAAGCTGGCTGGGGGCCCAGAGCCCTGGACTCTGGCCTAGCCCTGTCACCAGTTCACTGTGTGACCCTTCTCTGGGCCTCAGCTTCTCCCCTCTAGTCAGAAGCCTGGACTAAAGGCACCTCCAGTGTGCACAATATAGGGTTCTCAGGGTTAATACAGGGAGTAGTTCAGAGTACCCACCACTGAGATAGACAACCTGGGCTCAAATCCTGTCTCTATGGCTTACAAGTAATTGACTTAATTTTCTGGTGCCTTATCTGTAAACTAGGGATAAAAAAACCAAAACCAAACTCACTGCCGTGGAGTAGGATCCAACTCATAGTGACCCCTCCTTGGGTTTCCGAGGCAGTATCACTATGGAAGTAGATTGCCCAATCTTCCTTCTGAGGATTGGGTGGTAGGTTTGAACCACCAGCCTTCTGGTTAGCAGTCAAATGCCTTAGGCACTATGCCACCAGAGCTCCTTAAACTGGGGATACTCCATCCAAAACTACATTACTTATCACTTGTAAAGTTTCAATGAGTTAATATAGACAAGGAGAGCCTTTAGAGCAGTAACTGGCCCACAGTCAACACTACACAGCAAGCAGTTGCTATCACTTTGCCATTATTATTCTAAGTTTTATCTTTACAAGGTAACAGGTAAAAAGAAGGATCCCAAGCCCAGCAGGAAAAATAGGAGAGGGACATGCAAAAGCCTCCCCTCCTCAGCTCCTTTCTCACTCCAGCTCTTTGGGGTTTTGGCAGGTGATTTGGGGGAGAGCTGAGGTGGAGCAGTACTTGTGGAGAGGCATACAGAAGGATGGCGGGGAGCTGCAATATCAGAATTCGAGAGATGTAGGGGTCAGCAGAAGGGAGCCACTAGGAGACCAGTAGGAGAGAGGATCAGGGAGGGCTCCTGCAGGCTGCCTCCCCACACCCTATCTGAATCTGCCCAGAGTAGTCGGTCGGAAGGACTGAAGTGGGCACTGCCCACTCTGCCAAACACCAGGATCTTTGAACCACTCTGAATGGATTTTGCTCCAGCTCACTCAACAAAGCCTTACTGTCTCTGTGCCTGGCACTGTGCTTAGCAGTAGATTCCCAGAAAAACAAGACATGGTCCTTGTCCTCAAGGAACTCACAGTGTACTGGGGAAGACAGATGGGCAGGCAGATGGGTACAGTGTGTGACATATGAGCACCAGGGCTGAGGGACCAGAGGGGCCCTTGACTTGGCTAGGGTGATAAGGCTTTCTGAGTATTACAAGTCACAATGATGGTGTTTAAGGAAGAGAATGACATGATTCAATTTGTTTTGCAACTTTGGGGTAGCAATAGTAGAAGATGGATTTAAAAAAAAAAAAAAAAAAAAAACTCACTGCTATTGAGTTGATTCGACTCATAGTGACCCCTCCTTGAGTTTCCAAAGGGGTATCTCTACAGAAGTAGATTGCCCAATTTTCCTTCTGAGGAGTGGCTGGTGGGTTTGAACTGATAGCCTTCTGATTACCAGTCAAATGCCTTAGGCACTGTGCCACCAGGAGAGGAGAATATGGAAGTCAGGAAACTAGTTAGGAGATCACAACAGTCATCTGAGTAAGAAGTGTCATGGGATATCCTGCCCTCCACAACACCAGGGACATTTATGTCAATGCAATCTTTGTAAATGGCACCCCTTGGAGTTGAGCAACATGGAGGCCCTGATACCAACAAAGCCACTGGCACTGGGGATGGAGAGGAAGAACTCTAGTAGTGATATCCATTCATCCACTCATCCATCCATCCATCCATCCAAATAGGTCCTAAATGCCTATCATGGGTCAGGCCATGCTTTTGGTGCATAGGACACAGTGAATATGCTGACACTGCTCCCCTAAGCCTTGTTCGCAATGCTGCCTGCTGGGTTACTGGTTTCATCCATTGGATTGTGAGTCCTTTGCAGGAAGTCTGTGTCTCGTTCATGGTTGAATTCTCAGCCCCTGGCCAGACTCTTGGGTACAGCAGAAGCTCAGAAAACGTGTGCTAAATAAGTGAAAGAACAAACCTCAGAGTGCCTGGATTTGAGTGGGTGCCTCTGCCTGGCCTCATTTGCCCTCTGGGCCCTAGCCTAATCTGCAGGGGGCACCGTTAAATCTCACTGGACAGATTCTCTAAGACTTGGGGCCTGGAGGCTCAGGACATGGATGGAGTTGGCTTGGAGCTCCTTGCAATCCAATGGGGACCACATGGACTGACTTCCATCCTACCCCCATGGCCATTTTGGGTGGCATCCAACACCCTTGGCTCTGGGGTACCTGAGCCCTTCCTTCCAGGTAAAGCTGAGGAGCGAAGAGATGGGGAAAGAGGTGCACTGCCCTGAATAATCCATCCCGGCCTTAAATGGCGCTTTGTTTAACCGGAACTACCAGCGCTGGTGTAACCATAGCAACCACAAGTGGAAATTTAAAAAGTTAAAAATAAGTCATGACATCTTACATGTTGTTGGAGATGCTGATGGTAAAACTGCTTTTTAAAATCCTAACTACTCCATAAACTGAGTGGAGTAGGTCTGTGGGGATCCACTTTCAACAAATCACCCCCAAGCCAGACCTGGGGCCCGAGCTTGGCAGGGGCTGCAGAAAGACAGGGGCTTGATGAACGCTAACTGAAAACACCACCTCAAGGCTGAAAGAAGAACACAAGGTCACCTGGTCTAATCACCTCCAAAAAGGGAAATCTCTCCCTGTAACTTCCAGGGGGCTGCTCATGAGCCTTGAATACCTTGAGTGATAGGGAGTTCACTATCTGACAGAGGCAGTTTATTCCCCCGTTAGACAGGTTTGGGACAGTTCTGCCTGTTAAGGGACTCCTAAGCTGACCAAACTGAACTCAAGTATAGATAAATGAACCAGACTGTGGGGTCACACCAGCCTGGGTTTGAAACTCAGCTCTGTACTCACTAGCTGGGTAGCTGCCACTGACTTGTGTAAGCTGTAAAGCCTATGTCCTGAGGCTCAGTTTCCCAATCTGTAAAATGAGGGTAGAGATAATGTGACTGTGGACAAGCCACTTAACCTCTCTGAGCCTTAGTTTCCTCTCCTAGAAAACGTTTCCACTCTAAAGAGTTACAGGATACAGAAACATTTTTTCAGTCACCACACACTGTCTAGGAGCTGCTGTTACCGCCATCCTTTCTCTTTGGGTTTCCACTGAGCCCAACACAATACCTGGCTGGGGCAAGGGCCCAGAGAATGCTGTCTGAAGGAACCAGTTAACCTCTGCCCTCACCAGGGGTGTTCCCTTCACTGGGCACCTTGATGCCTCCATCCCTTCTTCTCTAGTGATGAGTGTCCCTTCACCCCGGGAGGCCTAGCTCTGGGGATAAGGTCTTCCTCAGGGTGAGGGTGAGCTTCCCACGCTGCCCTAGGGCAGTGAGTACTCACTAGGAAGGATGGTTTTGTACCGGTTCTTCCGCACCAGCCCAGGGATGTCATATTCTTTTGGATCCACAAAGTTCATGGGGATTTCCTGCAGGAGGAGGACATGGGGGTGTGAGCACGTGTGGCTGGTTCTCATGGATGTTCCAATCCAAGAGCTGCTATGCCTCCAACTTCTAGACCAGGAGCTGGCTTGAGTGTGCATGTTCATTCAACAGACATTTACTGTTAGACAAGTTAGCTCACATAAAGCCTTTACAGCAGTGCCTGGCACGTGCCAAGTGTGTAATGATATTATTACTATTGATTATTGATGGTGAGCCTGACACATAGTAGACATTCAATAAACAGCTGATAAATGAAGAATAAGAGAAAAAGTGGCCTGGCCAATCACTGCCTCCTTCCATACTCCCTGTGCTGCAGCAACAGTGATTTTGCAGATCTGTGTTCCTGCCCTGGGTGTCCCCACCTTGGGGACTTAGTTTGTGCTGCCTGCTCTGTGATAGCACCCACCCCATGCTCATCTCTTCATCCATCTTTAAGGTACCTCCTCTGAGGCGCCTTGTATGGTTTGCCAATGGGAGAGGCACCTCCTCTGAGCTCCCAGGGCTATACATGCACCTCCCAACCACTCCCTGTGCCAACAGCTCCAAGTCTGAATGTCTCAGCCTGACACCTGAGGTCTTCTGGGATCTGACCCTTCTTTACTTCTGGCTGTTCCCAAGAGATACTTCCACCCCAAACTATTCCAATCTCTTCTCCCTTACTAATTTCTTAGTCCTACCTCCAGGTCTTAAACCACTGCAGTCCCTTTGCTAGGAGTGCTGTCTCCCCCCTCTCTATCTCTCCAAATCTCTCCTACCCATTCATATTTACTTCTAGTCTCACCTTCTTAGGATGTCCTTCATAATAGTTCTCAAAGCCTTTTGCCTCAGAACTCCCCTTTCAATCTATTCAGATTTAACATCAGACTATATACAACTTTATATACATTTTTTTTGACACATAAAGTATGGGTTTGTTAAAGTGAGGATCATAATACCATCTAGGGTTATGAGGATCCAAAGGAAAATGTATGTGCAAAGGGCCTGGTGAAGTGGCTGCTCAGACTATGTTCCTTTCTCTCTGGATAAAATCAACAACACTCTCTGAATGTCATCAACATCTGTGTGGGGCTTTGGGGAAAAGACGTAGAGGACACAAGCCCTTTCTTCAAGGGGAGGTGGTGGTGGTGAGAACTCAGAGGAGGAGCTGGGGTTGGGGTAGCTGAGAAGGTTTTCATGAGGGCTTGGGTCTCCCAGGAAGGCCTGGATAAGGTATGAGAAAGAGAGAGAGAGAGAGAGAGGCCAAGCAAAGGCAACTCAGGTAGGGGCAGGTTAGCAAAGGCATGGAAGGAGGAAGGTGTAGGTGGGTGGCCAGTTTGAAATGGACAGTCCTGCAGGGTAGGGGTGGGGCAGAGACTGGGAAGGGAGGCTGGGGAGAGACCAACTTGGTTAAGGTGCAGGTGGTGCCCAACTTCTAGAGAATGTGGAGCAGGGGTCACAGGGTAATGAAGGTACAGTCCAGGCAGGGCCAAGGGTGGCCTAGGGCCAGGGGCCAGAAGCAGGAGATATGAGGGGGGCACACTGCTTCTACTACTCCAGTTTCAACCAGGAGGAATTTTCCCCAAACATTCCTGGCTTTTTGTCTATTCCTTACTCCTCCTGTGAGAGATGAGGAAGTTACCTGATGGGTATGTTTGAGGAATTGGGCTTTTGGGCACAAACCCCTTCCTCCCTCCTCCTCTCAGAAGCCCTCTTGCCAAGAAAGAATGATGAGGTGGGGGGTGGAGGACCCACAGGATGAGACCTGTAATGTGTCAGCACCTCCTGTGGGGGAGAGACATCTGACCAATTCTGGAGGTTGGCATTAGAAACTCACTACTGCCACAGTTAAGTGCTCGGCTGCTAACCTAGAGGTTGGAGAATTGAGTCTACCTGCTATTCTGAGGGAGAAAGATGTGACAGTCTGCTTCTTTGAAGATTAGTCTTGGAAACCCTATAGAGCAGTTCCACTCTTAAGTCAGGATTGACTCAAAGGCAATGGGTTGGGAATTTCTACGTATCTAGGCCTTGTTTCAAACTTACCCTTTATCTACAATAAAAGGAAATATTGTGTTCTCTTCTGTCTTAGCTCCTAACTGGCTCGGAACTCAGACAGGTAAACCGGAATGTCACTTATTCATGACACTTCAAAGTCCAAGAAGAGGCAGATGGAGGCTGTTGCAGATGACCAGGGGAAGGTGATTAGAACTTAAGATAAAGTCACAGGGTTGGGGACGAGGGGAAGTGACTGGAAAGATTTCAAAGGAAATGAGGAATAATGCTTGGTGACTTCAGGCTAGAGAAGGGTGGGAAATTTAGACGGTCAGAAGAGAAGGCTTTCCAAGCACAGTGCTGGGCAATAAAGACTTAGAAAGGCCTTCTGTGTACCAATCACCCTTCTGGGTCCTTTGCACATATTATCCCTCTCTTTAATCCTTGCAACCATCCTATAATTTGTATCCCCATTTTCCAGATGAGGAAACTAAGGTTCAGAGAGCAAGCAGCTTGCCCAGGCCAGTGGCAGAGCTGATAATGAATTGGTGTCAGTCCACTCCAGATGCTGAGTTCTAGATATTATGCCCCACGGCCTTACTGGTAGATGATGGACATGAGCAGACAAGTGTGCCCACTGGGAGGTGGCTGGCTCAGGGGGACTCACGAAAAATTCTGCCTGCAGCAGGAAGGGATCCAGGGCCTTTTCGTGAAGCTCCTTGGCTTGGAGGATGCGGGAGGCGCTGAGCAAGTACTCGCGAGCAGACTCCTCACGAGGTGACATGATGTAGCCGAAGCCCTCTTCATTGCAGCCTGGTGTGCACATGTCCAGGGTCAGCGAGACGTTGGAGCCCCTCCTGGAAGGGCCAGGAAAGTAGGAGTCCCATGGAGAGTGCAGTAGGAGCAAGGATCTCTACACTGGACACACACTACTGTGCTTAGTGTCCACAGAACAACAAGGGCCCCCATTATACGGAAAGAGAAATTAAGTTCCAGAGAAGAAACAAGAATTGTCTAGGCTCTCACAGTAAGGTAATGGTGGAGCTGAAAGAAAAAGCAAAGTTTTCTGACTCCTCATCTGGGGTCTTTCTATGCCATCAAGGATTAACTTGAATCTGGTGTGATGTGGCTTTTCTAGCTGGGTTTTGAAAAGAGGTTGTCTATGGTCCTGGTGGTGCAATGGCTAAGAGCTTGGCTGTTAATGGAAAGCTTGGCAGTTTGAACCTACCCATCACTCCACAGGAGAAAAGACCTGGGGATCTGTTCTGGTGAAGATTACAGGCTACAAGACCCTGCCATATGGGATCACTAAGAGTAAGAATTGACTTGATGATACACAATACCACCTCCCAAAGTGTGCTGTACAGAACACTATGGACCCTATAAAAATAGGGTTGTGGCCAAATGAGTCTGGAGAATGCTCTATATACTACACCTATTGCTGATTTACAATGCACACAAGCATGTTAAAAGTCCTGGCAAGTCCTACATAAAGAAACCTCTTTAATCTCAGTATTTCTCAATCTTACTTGAGCACAGGTCACTATATGTGAGTGCCCGTCGGTATGTGTACATGTACACCTGTGTATGCCCTTGTGTGCATGTGTAGTAACACAGTATTTCTTAGCATTCACTCTGGGGCATGATCTACTTAAATCAGACCTGAAGAGCACGTATATGTTCGCTAAATTGTGAGGACAGCTTTGTATTGAGCACAGAGAGTTAGGTATCTGCCCTTCTGATTGGAGCTGAGAGCTCAAGGGCCCATGGAGCCCACCCCCTCCTCCACCCCTCCCACCTCTCCTGCAGACCCATGGACTTGACGGTGAGCGAGGCAGGGTCGGCCTCTGGCTTGATGTCCATCACGCAGTCAAACACAGGTGTCTCAGGGACGGGGTCCAGGTCCAGGAAGTCATCTTCGACCTTCTCCTCCATCCACTCCGAGTAGGTGAAGGAGGGCTGGCGGCTCACTGATTGGCGCCTGTCCTCAGGGGGCAGTGGGGTGGGTGGCTCTGAAGGAGCCCTCAGGAGGTGCCACACCTGGTTGGGGGCATGTGATGCCATTGGTCTGGGGCCATACCAGCTGCCCCCCCGGGAGACTAGGGTGCCCATGATACTAAGTCCCCTGTCCCTCAATGTGTCTAGAGCACCCTTGCTCTCCTGGGAGCTGTCTGCATGTCAATACCCCTCACCTATATTGGAGACTCCATCCCCTGCCCCTGCCCCTGCCCTTCCTCATTTCTCCTTCACTCAACCATCAGTTTCCTGTGAATTAAGACTTCTGGGTGGAGTGGGTGGGTGGGGGGTGTCTTCCATCAGCCATCTTCCCACCTATGACTCTTTCCCAGATCACTGCTAACCAACTTTTAGGAAGAAGGTGCCTCTCACCCCAGGCTGGGCATTCTGTTGGAAGGAAACAGATATCCCAACTCTGCCCCTACCCAGAATGTCTAGAGCTGGTGGAATGAGGGTCACAGGAGGAGAACATTCAGGGTAGGTTCAGAAAGCATCTTACCAGAGTGGTAATGAGGACCAGGCCTACAGACAGAGAGACCAGCAGCAGACTGGGGACTCCCCAGGTCCCAACACCCAGCCAGGCCTGGGGAACATCAGAGAAACAGGTCAGGGTGGCAGTGGGGTTAGTTCTCATCCATTTCAATGGTGACAAAACTGAGGCTCTGAAAACTGTGTACCAGTTCTGGGGTGGGGAGCAGGAAGAACAACTTTAGGGGCTTGGAAGTATCTTTTGATTTCAGAGAAGTCTCAGCCATAGAGGGTGGGATTGGAAGCACCCAGTTGCTCCCTCTTACCCTGGGGTAACCCAGAGTTACTCACTGTGGGTCCCAGGACCAGCTGTTCCATGAACGTGAAGAAGGAGGAGATGAAGTTTGTGGCATTCTTCAACCAGATGTAGCCGAAGCCACTGTACCAGAGCACCCCAAAGGCAAGCTGGGGCAGCCAGGGAGAATGGACTGAGTTCAGAGCCTTGCTTCTTGCTCCCATATGCCCCCTGCAGAGCTCACCTTCAGCCTCAACCTGGGCCACCAAAGAGGTTCCTGAACCTCCAAAGTCCAGAATGGGTAGCTGAGGGAAGGGCCCAGGTACCGCTTACCCCGAGGAGGCCTCAAGATTCTCCCTAGAGAAAAGCTGACTAAAGGGAGCCAAGAAAAAGCCCTTCCCAGAGGGCCTCCCCCAGGTACATACAGAAAAAGGGGACTCTCCTAGAGATGCCTCCACAGACAGGAAGTCCTCAGAGAGAATCCTACAAGGAGGGCGTGTGGGGAAGGAAGGTCCTTCCAGATTAGGGATTGAGGGCTTATCTATTGAGGATGTAACTCAGAACTCCATCCTTCTCACACCAGCCATGGGGGCTCAGAGTCACTGAGGGACACCAAAAAAGGCCCCTTCCCTCTCCACTGACCCAGACGGCCATCTTGTAGAGGAAGTAGAAGGCTGTCCCTCAACCAACCCTCTCTCCAGGCCCTTGTGAGGCCTGTGAGATCCTTACCAGGAAATGTGAAACAGCAAACAGGCACAGGCTGCTCCAGAGAATAAAGGAGTCGCTCCAGGTGACTCTAGGTGGTGGTTTCCGAGCTGGCTCTGAGAGCCGTGAAGGAGGTGGGGGTGGTGGCATCTCTCTCTGCGAGTCCGGGAGTCCTTCAGCCTTGTCTAGCGCCTCAATCCCTACCGGCTGGGGGAGACCTGTGGAAGGCGGGACACGCAGACCATGACTCTGGGCCCTGCTCGCACACAGGGCTCTGCTGACCCACGGCAGGCCGCTCCTTTCAGGCTTGCTGTGGATTCCTCTCAATCTGGGATCAGTCAGCGTGGCTCCACTTCCAGCAGTCACCCTCGATTAGCAAAGCAATATTCACCTACCTTCGTCAGAAAGAGCTAAGTGTGGGTGGACAAATTATTTCTCTTTTATTTCTCCAGTAACAGAGTTAAAATGGCAGGAGGTTTTTCAGAGTTAATATCGTGTGTTTACGCAGCTCCATTCTTTCCCATTTCTTAAGGAAACAAAAAACAACCACCTCAAAGTCAATTAAAAAAGATTAAAAAAAAAAAAAAAAAGACATGGCATAACCAGGCTGTGATCCTGAACGATACACCTACGTCTGCCCTCCAAATTTTTGTCTCTTGTGGTTTCTGTCCCAGCTGGGGCTGGGGATGGACTCTTGACAAGATCTACAACCAAGTGCCCCTCCTACTCTGAGACCTGTACTGAAAGTGGATGGAGGACAGTCAGGGAAGTATGGAGGAAAATCTTGGTGGAAGAACTGATATTAGATAATTTAGGATCCAGTTCTAGATCCTGTCCCTGGTTGTGTGTCATTTCCTCTCTAGCCCTCAGTTTCACTTTCTGGAAAATGGGAGGTTGTGCTCAACCCAGTGCTTTCCAGAACTATAGGGTTTTTCCAACTGCCCCAGGGGCTGTTACTAGGTGTTCAGAGTTCTATGTCTGTGTCTCAAGCTTAGCAGCTATACTTGGTCCCATTTCATATACTGGGTTTCTTCTAAGATTATTCCAACTTGGGGTTCTACTACTAAAAATGTCTAGAACCATTGACTTAGATTCTGAAGTCCTAGTAGTAGCCTGGGGACTCCAGTGGCAGCCACCTCAGTGAGTTCCAGATGTTGGAGGTCCCCATCCAAACCTACATGGTTTAGTCTATTGCCAAGAACAGAAGCAACAGCAAAATGGATGTGCAGAGCTTGACAGTGGAGAGAGGGCTGTTCACAAACAAAACTCTGTAGGTATCTACATCACTGTGTATATGAGACAATGGACTCCTTCTTGGTTGGGCAACACCAGAACACCTACAGCCAGGAACATGTGAAGCCGAGACAGGCGTTTGTCCATATGCTTCTTGGCTTACTCAACAAACATTTACCAGCTATCTTCCATGGCCTGGTTCAGTGCAAGATGCCCTGGTCTTCAAGATACTTATATTTATATCACAGGCCTCACCCCATCCCCCTTCCCAGCTTCATGGCTCCACATCTGCTGTCTTCCAGCCACACTCTGTGAAGTTCTTCCAGTGAGCCTGCTCTCTGTACTTTGCACATGCTGGTCCCCATGCCTAGAGCTCCTCTCTGAATACTCCTCTCCCCTGTTCCTCCCATAAATTCACCAAGTTAACTTTTATTCACCTCATAGATCCCAAGGCATCACCTGAAATTGGTCCTGCCCTGTCATATGCTCCTAGCACTCCATGCCTCTCTTCATACCACCAGCAGCAAAAATATATCTGGAATGAACAAGGCTCTGTTCTGAGTGTTTTACACATGTTAACTTATTTACTCTTCACAGTATCCTTATAAAGTTGGTTTCACTATTATCCTCACGTTACAGAAGAGGAAGATGAGGTACAGAGAGGTTATAGAACTTGCCCGAAGTCCCTTAACCAATAAGTGGTAGAGGTATGCTCAACAGAGGCAGCCAGAGGGCTCTGGGTTATATTACATTAATTAGATTTTGTGTAATTAATGAATGAATATCATTCCCTCCCACACATCTGTAAGTTCCATGAGTGCAGGAGCTGTGTCAGTGTTGCTCATCATGACTTTCCCCAGCATCTAGCACAAATCCTGGCACATAAGTCTGTAATAAATATTTGATAAATGAATGAATGAATGATGATGGACAAGTAATCATCTCTTAGTTTTCTTAGCTGATAATGGGATAATACATACTTTGAAAAGCTGTTATGAAGACTAGAACTGTTGTTATTAGTTGCCATCAAGTTGATTCTGACTCATGGCAACCCCATATGTTATAGAGTAGAATTGCTCCATAGGGTATTTTTGGCTGCAGTCTGAATGGAGGCAGGTCTCTAGTCCTATCTTCTGTAGTACTTACTGCTGGGTGGGGTCAAACTGGCAACCTTTAGGTTAGCAGTTGAGTGTAAACTGTTTGTGCCACCTGGGAACCTTATGAATTCAGTATATACTATATAGGAAAAGCCTAGCATGGGGGCACCAAGGAGATGCTCAATAAATGGCAGATTATATAATAACACACAAGTCCTACCTTCAAAAGGCTCCCAGTCTGGTAGGTAAAACAGACCTGCAAATACCTGTTTACAATACATTAAGTGATATATCTAAATGCTGGTGGAGCCCAAGATGGAGGGAGGCATTTCTCATTGCCCATGAAAGAAAGCTACAGTTACTTGACCATATGATCAGATGGCTCAGATCCTGGCCAGAAAGATGAAAAAGGAAATGTTGCTGCTAAAAGATGGATCATGGGCCAATCCAAGAGTCTCTGCTATTTATAAGCAGAGGGTTCATTACTAAAGGGCAAGTCTTCACCCATACCCTTGTGGATAGGTGATGCCAAATGTGGAAGGGACGGCAAGGACACCTGGCTTCCATGTCTTGGCTCTTCAACGGACACGCTGTAGACCTTTGACAACCCCTTCTCTCTGGCCTCAGTTTTCTGAGCTAGAAAATGAGGGGCTTAGATTCAGTGCTTCTCAAATATTTCTGCCAACCTCAGATGAGATGAACATGGACTTTAGGGGAACATTGCAAGCTCATACTATCTCGGACTGTGCTGCTGTGTTTAAAAATTCATGGGTGCTCTGTATTCTACATCACAGTGTATCTGTACTTGTATTGATATTAAAATAATGGTTTCTCTCCCTTGCAAAGCTACGAATGAAATTTATGCTTCAGGAAGATGTGCTACGTTTATCTTGTGGCTTTGCCCTCAGGGTTACATGTACCCCAGTCTGAGAAGCATGGAACTTGCCTGCAATAAAACATCATGCAGACATTATGAATGACTCTGTAGATGAATATTTAATAACATGGGAAGGGAATTTCGAAGGTAAAGAGTGAGAAAGGCAAGTTACAAAACAGTATGATCTCACTGGCCTTAAAAACTAAGAAAGCCTAAATGTGCACTCCCCCCCAAAAAAGAAAAAAGGTTGAAATATTTTGTTACATATCTTTAACTACAATAACCACAACAACAACAAAGATGGCGATACCCAATGTAAAACAAGAAGCTGACAGGTGATAGGGCTTGTAGAACACAGAGCACAGTGAGTGCATAATAAATGTACACGGTAAATGGAAGAATATAATAAGCAAGGTGTGAAGAGTACAAGCACGTTGTTAACAATAGTTCTTTGTGGGAGTCCGATTAGAGGTGATTTTCTTTTCATTGTTTATATAGTCTCAATTTCTTCTCAATATATAGTTGTCATGAAGGAGCTCTGATAGCACAGTGCCTAAGGTATCTGACTGCTAACCAGAAGGTTGGTGGTTGAAACCAACCAGCCACTCCATGGAAGCAAGATTGGGCAATCTACTTCTGTAAAGATTTACTGCCTCGGAAACCCAATAGGTTTTTTTTTTTTTGGTATAGTTTTCATGAGAAGAATATATTTTTAAAAAGAGATCAAAGTTCTGAGTTCAGATATTGTGAGGCTTAGTTAGTTTGTGGTTTCCAGGTCCCGACTCCCAAGTGTCAGATATGCTGGGACATAAGAAGACCTAAGTGAGAGAATGTGAGTGTGCACGGCTCTGAGAAAAGCCAGTGGAAAGCAGGTCGCATGGATGGCCAGTGATCATTGCTTTTGCATATAAAAGATGGCAGGTCCACTGCTTTGCACCTTAGCGGGATGGAAGGAAAACTAGAGGCCAGCAGACCCTGCATACATCTCTCAGAGACAAGGCAGAGGTTGTATTTATTTATTTTAATCCACAGGGCACCTGGCAGCCCAATGACAGATATTCACTGAGGACCTGGTGGATAGGCATCTCCCAGAGCAGGGCTTTTCTGGGTAGAAACCTGAAGTTTCTTTACCCAAGAAAATATACTCTTAAACACACATTGTATTCTTCACATAATCTTGGGGTGGGGGTTGGAATCTATGGACCTCAGGTTAGGAAGCCCTGATCTCAGGGGTGGAGGTTGGGAGAACATGATGGAAAGTGATATTGTTGTTGTTGTTGTTATGTGCCGTCGAGTCAGACCCGACTCATAGCGACCCCTCCTTGGGTTTCTGAGGCAGTATCACTATGGAAGTAGATTGCCCCATCTTCCTTCCGAGGAGTGGTTGGTGGCTTTGAACCACCAGCCTTCTGGTTAGCAGTCAAGTGCCTTAGCCACTATGCTACCAGAACTCCTGATGGAAAGTGATAGAAGCTGTTAATTGTAGCACTATTCACAACAGCAAAGAGATGGAAACAACCTAAGAGCCCACCAACTGAGGAATGGATAAACAAACAGTGGGACATACACACAATGGAATACTGTTGTTGTTGTTGTTGCTAGGTGCCATCAAGTTGTTTCAGTGGAATACTATGTAACCCTAAAGAATAATGTAGAATCTGCAAAACACTGCATAATGTGGATAAATTTGGAGGACATTATGCTGAGTGAAATAAGTCAATCATAGAAGGACAAATATTGTATTAGTTCATTATTGTAAAAAGTCAAGGAAAAGATTATATATGGAAGGAAACTTTCTTTGTTGGTTACCGGGGATGGGAGGGAAGGGGAGGGGAGGGAAGATTTCTAGATAGGTTGAACTAAAAAAATAAATGAATAATACACCAAAGACTATTAGTGGTTACCAGGGTAGGAGGAAGGGGGAAAGGGGAAGCTTTTGTTTGGTGGGGCATTGAATTTATGCTAATAGGTGGTGGAATACTTTGAGAAAGGACAGCAATAATGGTGGCAC